CTGCATATTAATAGCTGAGGGTTTAAAATGAAAAACAAAGGCTCCTGTCTGTTACTGGTACCGTGCTTATGCATTTCATAAGGCTTCCTGTGTTGCAAGAGTGAATACAATAACTCTGTAAATCACACAAATGCACTTCGAATATGAGCTTTGATTTTCAGAACCAGAATTTGGGGTTTCTGAAGCAGAAAAGAAGCGCTTTTTGGACGGCCACAGGAGATCCCCCGATTTCCCTGTCCATGAGCCACCATCTTTTGGATGCAGATCTGAGATACTCCATGAGATCCACCACATCTGCTGTCTGGCTTTCCTGTCCTGCTTTAATCTCTTTGTGAGACCTCTTTCAACCCAGCCCCGCCGTGGTAACTCAGAGGATGCAATTAGCACTGGAGTCCTTAGTCACCTACCAGGCAAACCCAAACATGTGCTTCCAGCAGGGCTTTAAATAGCTGCCCAGGCTGGGGGCCCATTGTTTGATAGCTCAAATGTGAATGCTGAAAATAGGAGGTTTGGACAGGATTTCCACATTTAGAGGAGTAGGAAATGAAATCATGTTTTAGTAAAGCTCTGTTTAGGGGTGTTTTGTCTCCATGTGCGCCTTTTTTAAGGAGAAAAAGCCTGAGGAGTTTTGCTGCTGGACTTTTAACCGCACCCCAGATCACAGACACAGGTACCAATTAACTGGTCAGGTCTAAGGCTGTACGTTAACTTGTCTGTAATTACTTACAGCTCAGAAATCTCCACCTTTTCTTCTACTCATTGTTTTGCATCGTTATCATGTAGAGGATGCAGTGCTATCATACCAGCGCATCTCATCTCTTTAGAGATATGTGCAGAGACCACAACCCTGTGGTCTCTTTCCTCTTACGTGTTCCATTTTTTCCTCTTACGTGTTGCTCACAGCGACTTTCAGTCAGCGGCCCAGTAAGGAATTCTTTAGTTGAAGAGTTGTTGTCTCGTTTTAAGTCATTTTTGAAGTGTGGTTTTACGTGAAGATGAGGAATTTGCTTTGTCACAAGAGAAACAGTCTCTGCGCCCATCTCTGCACAGACAGAAATAGTTTTTTTTAATTTCTGTATTTTTCCTGCAATATGTTGGCACTTTTCAAAACAGCTCCAAGTCGTGAATTGTTTCCAAGCTAAATTTAAAGTAACTGAGGAGCAGAAGGAGAAATGGAGTAAAATGCAATGCAGGAAGAATTAAGGAATGGGTTTTTTTGACTTTTATCACAGTTAGGCCAGCATAAATGATCTAATTTCACACTGTGGCAAAAAAAAAAAAAACAAAACAAGATGAAGAAGAGAAGCCTAGCTATGCACTTGAAGAAGTTATTCTGTGCAGTCTGAGACGTCAGCAAGGTAGAAACGCTGTCACGTTTGTCGGAAGAGTTAAAATTTGAGCTGGTATACTGCTGGATGATACCAGTGTGGTGATGCTCTGTATTTCATCATTTGCTTTTGATTGCTATTTTGGCCAAAGGGCCTGATTTCTGGAGTAGACCGAAGGCAGTCGGAGGGATGTTGGGTGGCATCGTGAACCTGATCGCGTTGTGAAGCACGGAGATGTCTCTTCCCTTCTGTGGATGCACTTGTGTGCGTGATTTATTCAGCTACATGTGTTTTCAGCCTACCAAAAATCAAACCTTTATAAATAGGCTATAAATAGGCTCATCGCTCTTCCTGACACACCCAGGGTTTGTTTTTTTTTTCACCTTTTTAATGAGTCAGAAATTTTGTTGTTCCACTGCTGGGGAAGGTGTCCGAGGGAGTCACAGCAGCTGACAGTGGAGCACCCTGATGCTTGCAAAGTGCAGGACTCGGTGCTTAACCCATGTTAGGAGAAAGCCCCACCATCTACCAGCCGGAGCAGAAGAGAGATGATCAAGACCAATAGCATCTGTTCCGGCACTGCTCGGAGCTCTTTGTGATCTCAGGCAAGTTCCTGAACCTCATAAAAACAGATTTGGGCTTGTTTTACAGATGATAACCACTTATCTCCTGAGAGTGCCAGAAAGCTTAGCTCACTTTTGCTAATGCTCTGGGAAAAAGGGCTGTTGAAGTTCAGATATTAGTCTAGGCAAAGGAAACAACTGTCTTTGATGTGGAGAGAAGCGTTGCCCCACCGACGGTTCCTTCAGCCAGTTCATGTATTGGGGACTTGTTTGCTTACATCGTTCCTGTAGCGGTTTCAAAGCAGGGGGGCAGAGACCTCTTGAGCAATCTTTTTAGTATTGGCCGCGCTTGTTACTTACTGGCTCCTCTTTCATTTGAACTGTTTGCCAAAAGTCAGAACCTGTCCCAGACTCTTGCGGGGGGGGGGGCAGGTCTGACATCTTCTCAGATGTAGGGAAGGAGAACATCAAAGCCTTGTGAGCGGTTGCCCTTTCGAAGAACGTTCCCCGGGGTTTAGCAGGATGCTTGTTTGATCCTGTTAGATGAAAATGGATCGTCAGCTCTGTCACCTCCCTTTCAAGGCTGTGTTACTTATCTGGGGGAGTTTCAGGAGAACCATCGTCGGCTGCAGATCAGGACGTGGCCTTTTTGTCACCTCCCCTTGCATTGCGTTGAACAGTCCTGTAGCTTTGCATAAGTTTGGGGCTGGTGTTTCACATACGCCCCGTCCAAGGGAACTTTGTACATCCATGATATACCAGTTTAAGGGGGCCATGTGTCTTGACTGAGGTTTCTCTAGTTGTTGTCGTGACGGAGCTTTTGGTGTCCCACGGAAGAGTTGTTTGGCTTCATGCCAAGGAGGTGACTGTCCCAAAGTGTTTCTCTGTAGCTGCTCACGGGCCGTGTTTGCCTTCTGCTTCAACCTGGAGAGTCCACTGGCTCTCAGGCAGAGTAGCCGTGTTCAAGGTTATTTTGCAGATGGAATTCTTATGGGAATAGATGGAAAATAGTTTTTTTAAAAAAATTAAAAATCAAAGGCTTAGCTGTTCTCATGCTACTGAGGAGTCTTTTATTATGATTTTTTTTTTTTTTTTTAACTCTGCGTTCTAGCGAACTTCCACTGCTTTGCATTCGGGAGAGCCAAGTTCGCAGCGCTGGAGGCAGCTCCCGTAGGATAGTGTGGCCTTCTGGACAGCATCCATATAACCTGCTGCTTTTGTAGAGGCTGTAAACAAAACTAATAAGGCTTACCTGCTCCTTATTCTTATATCCTTGGGAAGATGAGCAAAGCAAGAAGGTGTAGGGGGAGGGATGTACAGTTCTGAACTGCTTTAGAGGCAAGTTCTCCCAAATTTGTACCGTCCCCCCACTTCTCCCTTGAACATGAGGCTTCTACTGTGAGAATGAGGGAAGTTTGGGACTGGGTTTCGTCTGGGCTGCTGAGTTCCCTGCCCATCCTATTGACTGGTGATGTATTAGAATGCGCGTGCAATATATCCAAGAACAGAAGAATTAGGTCTTCCCACCCTCATTCTTTTTTATAACATCAATGCTAGTGAATCTCTTCCTTCAGCTTTCACATCAGCCTCTTGCTAATAGATGCCCGGTGCTGGAAGGAAAGAACTTTTCTCACCTTTCAGCTTCAGAGCTGAAACGCATCCATGTGTGTTTTCCTTCCCTTCTACACTTGTCTTTGATATCTTTCCAGCTGCATTTGCTCTCCTTAGGAAGCCACGCAGACTCGTCTCTGACAATTTTGGTGCTACCCGCAGTGTCCTAATAGCAGTTTTGACCTTTCAATTAACTTCAGGATCGCCTCTTTTCAGCAGACAAAACCTGTATAGATGCCAAGAGCCTCAGAACAGATTTGGAAGGTTGGTTGAAAGACCATGAAGATTAGGGACATATTTTTCCTTTTGTCAGGGAAATCAACAGCAAAGGGCCTCGGTACAAGAAGGAAACTTTCCCACTGATCACAAATAGGGGCTTAAATTGAATTTTCAAGCCTTTAAAAATAAATCGTCATTTTGTATTTAATTAAGCAGAGTTTCATGAATGTAGTAGTATGCTGAGGTCATGGGCAAAAAGAAGCTTTTCCAGTAATTAGTGCAGGGTCCATGCTGTTCTGGCAAAAACAGCCATGACGTCAGTCTGAGACTGGAACAAGAAACTGTGCCGCACGGTGAACTTGAAACACAAACCTTATTATTGAAGAGGCATGCCTGACAATTACAAGTGCTGGTTGTGTTGGACACATGTTATATTTTCCCTTTTAAAATTGCAAAAAGGTGTGGTGGGTTTCGTTGGTTGGGGGGGTTTTTTGGGGTGGGTGGTTTTTTTTTTTAGGCAATGAAACGGCTGCCATGCCAGGGCATCCTTCCTCCTCTTTTCCCTGCCCTAAATAAATAAATAAACTTAATGTTATTAAACTTCCAACCTTCTTGTTTTGTAAATATGGAAAGTGGCCATTTCCATGTTTTTATTTCGCAGAAACAGCTGGGCTTTAGTTTTGTCGTGTGAACCCAAAGGCAAAGGGCAGGTGGAGGAGGGAGGCTGAGATCCCCGGGCGCGCACAGGGCACGCCTGGGCAGGTCGCTCTCCCGTAGCCATTTAGCTCTTTGTTTTAGGTGCAATTGTGGTGTTTTCAGTACAAGCCAAGTGTTGTGACAGCATTTGGAGTACGTAGTTTTGCAGCACTCGGATTCTGGTTTCTGGTGAGTTACTGGAGTCCTGTGGAGCTGGAAAAGAAAAGTTTGACCACATAGTCTGGTTTTCGGTACGTTAGCAAAATCTGCACTTACCGCTCTTGAGTTTACTTGTTGCTGATCAAAAATAGCCTGGTCAGATAAGGGTGGCTTATATTTCTTGGTTTATATTCTGACGGAGAAGAGTTACACATCTTTTCCTTTTAAAGTCTATAAGAAATACTTATCTTTGATGATACGTGTAAATTTCCAAGATGGTGTTTAATTTAGAGTTGTGACCCTCAGTAACTTGCTCTTACCTGATTGAATGTAAAGACTGCGCGTGTCAAAGGAGTTGCTCAGTTGTGTTTCATCAGCGCATGGAATTGTTCTTTTTTACCGTTTCCCTTGGTTTTATTTGCAGGCCATGACTGCTGTGAAACAGTGAAGGTGGCACTCTGTGCCTCTAGAGAAGGTCATCCTGTTCTGGTTGTGGCAGAAGAGAGTTTCCAGTTTGTCCAGGATGAAGCCTACGACGCCGCCCAGTTTCTGGCCACCTGCGCTGGCAACCAGCAGGCACTGAACTTCACCCGGTTCTTGGACCGGTCGAGACCACCCGCTGCCGATGTGGACTTTTTGGATGAGAAAGTGGCTCTGGCGTTTCGACACCTGAAACTACCAGCAGAATGGAACGTGCTGGGAGCGGACCAGTCCCTGACCGGTGAGGACCTCTAGGGCACGGGTGAGACTCGCGGGTTGGGAGAGAGGGAAGAAGCCTGGGGAGAAAGGGTTCCCAAAGGAGAAGGGTTGCCAAAGCAGAAGGGTTGCCAAAACTCCACGTGTCTTTCAAAAGGTGTGTTGACCTCTGTGCTGGGAGATGGGATGTGATGTACACCAGCGTGCCCCTCCTACACCTGCATCCTTTGCTTTGCACTTCGGCCACCTTAAAATATATAAAGCCCTGATGTTTTCTCTGTGTCTTCTCTTATGAAATAGCACAGGCTGTTGTAAATGGTCGGTGTTTTAAAACACACCCAGAAGGGGTTTTTTGGTGCGTGTATGCAGTGGTATGTGTATCGGCACCACACTGCTGAGATTTCCTGAAAGAACCCCATCTGTGTGTGGAAAGTCTGATGCTCCAGGGAATATTACCCTTGTGCCACAAACTCGGCGCTTTTGGTAATTGTTGGTTTTACAGCGTACGTGCGAAGTGACTGTAACGTGTAAAATACATCTAATTTTTCTTGGAGAAGTTGGGAGTCTGCCCCTGAGGATTTGTATCGCATCCCTGGCTGGGGGTGGGGTAGTTCCAGTGTGCACAAATTCTTACTGTAAATTTTCAGGGTATTTCAGCAAATAGTTTCCCTTAAGGAATGTAGCTGTGAGGCATCCGTTATCTTTTATAGGATACAACGGTGTAAACACATGCAGAGGAAGGGGACGTGGCTTGCTCAGCGCACCAGGCTCAGTTCTGCTCACCACGACAGGGTTTTCTGCAGGAGTTTTACTTGCTTTATTTTTCACTGCCTTGCTGGTGGCTTTTGTAGACGTGAATACACAGGCAGGCAATCGAAGCAGTGTTAGCAGACATTAAAAGACTTGATCATATTTAATGGTTTCTGGATAGAAATTCAGATGCTGTCACATGTTTACAAGGAGATAAACACTTGGGTTTTTTTTTCCTCTGTGTGGAAGACACTGATTTTTCTTTCCACATTTAAAAAAGTTGTAATAATGCTGACATTTCTGGTTTAAGTGGTAAAAATACAGTTAAAGTGACCTTAAGTTAACAAAAACTCTGATTGAAGCTCTGAATTGTTGTTGATTTTGCAGGAAAGCTGCGATGTGGTTTCTCTTTTTGTCTTTGATTCTTCTTTGGAAAATCAGCACTCAGGGAAATGGGGCCGTAGGATTTACATTGATTTGCTCAGCGTGCGCTTGTGGTCCTGGAAGTCGTGATGGTGTAGGGCTCTGAATGCTAATGGACCTGTAGAGCATCCACTGCATCCACAGTGAGAAGGGGGAGCTCTGTAGCGCTGAGCGTTTTGGCATCTTGTGGCGAGGTTTCTGTAGACAAAAGTGTAAGTGGATAAATACAATAGCACTAAATGCAACTTTAATCCAAGAATATTAGTGCTATAAAATATGTTCCCTTGCAGTAAGTCCTTTCATAAATAACTGGAAAATGGCAGTTTATTATGTCCTGGTCTTTCATCTTCTGATCAGCTTTTTTGCTAGAGGCAGATTTATCTGGTAATATTTTGCAGTGCGCTAATTATATGTAGGGAATTTGGGGGAATTTTTGTGATTGTGACGGGAAGGATTTGCATGCGTAAGCATCCTTTTGGTCACGAAACTCTGTTTTGCTAGAGCGAGGTGGAAGAGATGTCTCTGATTTACGATGGAGCACTAGATTAGAAAAACCTCTGTGGTAAGAAGTAGCACTCCCCTGCTGGTGGTTGTGGGTTAATTCCTGTGGTGGAGAGAGTGAAACACAGCAGAGGTTGAAGCTGTGGGAGCATGTGAACAGTTACGTGTGTTCTGGCCAGTGCCCCTCCAGTGGGACACCCCGTCCTGCGCTGCGTCACTACCTATGAACAGCTATTCCAATTCATATTTCACATTTCGCTAAATGTCAGCACCAGATACTTCAAATAACCTTCTCGAAGGAGAAAATACTATAGAAATGAGAACAAAAGAAAATGTCAGATCCCTTCTTGGAAGATTGTTAGCGCTGCCTCTAAGCTGGCATGTCTCTATGGGCCCTTGTGGGTTGGAAACAAAACGCTGCTGTTTAGCAAAACCTCTGAAGGCAGGAGCGAGCCGGGAGCCTCAGCCAGCTCCCGAGAGCCGCAGCTTGATGGGGAACTGCTGCTCAGAGATGGCTGTTGCTGTCAAGCACATGTAAAAGTTGATTTTCCTAAGGGCTGAAGTAGGAGTCTAGCTTTTACGAAAACAGTTAGGAAGTAATGGCCTTTCTGCAGGCAGAAGTTGGGGAGAAGATCCACCATCAAGCGCAACTCTGTGCTGATTTTGGGGGAGGGGATGGCTCCATGTGGAGGCTTCTCCTTGTTTTTGCCTGCCCTGACCAGTCTTTGAGCAGAGAGCAGGGAGTTCATTGCCGTCACACACCCCAGAGGGCAGAGAAGCTGCTAAAAGTTAACACCCATCTCCATCTACTGCGGCCGTTTAACTAATCGTTGGTGTCAGTAAGTTCGTGCAGTGCAAAGTGCGCGGTTAAGGTCCACACGCTGAGGAGGAGGAGGCACCTAATAGCCCTCGTGCTCCCGCGTACCAGCAGGTTGGTGGTCGCATCATTAAAACGATCTTCAGTGGTTCGCATTCATCCATTATTCATAGAGTCATAGAACGGTTAGAGTTGGAAGGGACCTTAAAGGTCATCTAGGGCATCCCTGGGCAGGGACACCACCTCCCCCTCCCCTCTTTTCTAACACATTAGTAGGTTTGACTTTTTACTGTGGAAAAGTGCAGGATCACTGCGGACAAAGCTGTGTGAGAATTGTCTACTTGCTTATATTTTGGTCACCAAACCAAAGTCTTCATTCTTTAAGACTTCACTATTGCTCAAGATTAAAGGTATGGTACGGTCATATAGCCAAATTGTTAAGAGAGCATCTTTTCTGCTGGGGGTTAGAAATACCTCCAAAATTATTTAAAACTTCTGGAGAACATTTACAAATGTTCCAGTGTCCCTTTTTTCTATTTATTTGTATGCAACCTACTTAAATTAGCTGTTGCCAGTCGACAAGAGAAGTTTGTTCAGCTTCAGTAATCCTGGTAATCTTAATCTCTTACACACTAGATTGTTTTTCCATTTATTCCTTTCTTATCTCTTTAGACATAATTTTCATTAAAACAAATTGAAAATAAAATGAACATTTCTTCCTGTGTTTTCATCAGGGCATTTTCAAAACCGCACTACATTCATTTGCAGTATTCTCATTCGCTTTCCCTCCTCCCCCCTGTTGTTCTGGAACAGCAAAAGGCTTTATTGCTTAAAAAGAAACTATCCTAAAATTAAATGCAGTGAGCATCATTAGTTAATCTAATCCTTACAGTAATATTATTGTAGGTATTTGGTTAACATTGCTCAAAACCAAGTATTTACTGATTTATATTACTCTGGTACAGTGTAAAAGACTAAACATGTTTGTGATCATGAAGTCCTTAGTTCTTCACCCCAAATCCATTGAAAATAAAGTGGATTTGTTTAGACCTCAGGAAGCTTTGAATGAAGCCTTTGTGCCAAATTTAACACCAGACTGTTTTTCTGTAGGCTTGGGGCTTTGATGGCAAGCTTTTTGTTCAGCAGCCAGCGGTGTGGAGCGTGGAACCCAGCCTGGTCTGACCACTGGCAGTAATGCGCAGGTGATGGAGAGCAGTGGCTGGACATCATGAATCCTTGACGGGAAGAGCGAGTTCAGGAAACAGAATCCTCTCTCTTAAAACTGTTTATCAGTGGTCTCATCTTACAGCTTTTCCTGCTTGACTTTCTGTGGAAGGGTGACACTCTTGCCCAAATTTCTTATTTCCAAATCTTTGCCTTTCTTCTTTGATCCTGATTTGTCTAGCTAACAATTTCATTATGGAATATTTTCCCCCTTAATATACATAGAAAAGCTCTTCTCTCAAGCTTTTCCTCATGACAGCTACTCTCAAAAGGTAAACTTAGGTTTCAGGTTGTTTTGATCAACGTTATATTCCTGTGGAGAAGTCGCACAGTCGACCAACACCCGTGGAGCTGACTGGAAAGCAGAGAAGGAGGGACCTGTGGTGTTTTGGTCCTTTTTCCAGTAACGGTGGCCACGGTTTTGCTGTCTGGTTTGTTCTTAGGGTGTTGTGCATCTGACTTCTAAGTTGGCTTTTTGCCCTCCATCTCTTTTTATTTTTCTCCTTCTCCCTGAACCCACCTGCTGCGTTGGACATTTGAGGTGCAGCCTTCTACTTGCTGTTTGTAGAAGATCTCTCAGAATAAGTCTTACCTTTTAATCCTTATCTTAGAGAAAAGGACCCCAGAAAGACTTGCATTAAGTATCTCTTTACCCACAGATATAAAATATTTTGCAGAGGTCCCAGGTAATGGGACTTTGGGAGAGTGAAATACCTTCCAGCTCCCACTTGGTGCCACGCTAGCAGAACTGGGGATGGGAGCACCTGACTTCGGAGGTCCTTGGGCTCCATCCTCTAACTATAATTGGAGGCAGGCAGAAGATACTCAACCATTTGGTTGGATGAATAGATAGCAAAAGAAAGCCCGGCACATGCCGAGGCTGAAGGAGATGGCAGAAGCAGCGCTGTGCATGATGCCGTCGTCCCTCTCGGCGGGGCCGCAGCGTGTCCTTGTGTTGTGTGGTCAGGGCAGGATGCGCGCGTGTCTGTAGGGGAAGGATTTGCATGGCAGGTAAAGAATTGTGTCTGAACCCCTTTGGGCAAGTGTGTCCTGACCTCCTCCCTGCACGGCCGCAGCCCTCATCGCTTCTGTCCTGGGGCAGGACCGCGCTCTTCCCCCAGCCACCCGCTGTCCCTCCGCAGCAGGCGATCCCTGGGCCTTGCTCTTAATTACCTGTCTGTCTGTGTGAACCCAAGTGGCAGCCACAATTTTAGAATGTCCATAATTAAGGATTACTCTTGTTACCATGGTATTCCAAACACAGCATTACTTTCAGGTGCTGTATAATCACGTCCATCTTAATTATTACA